TTTGAACACTATGTGTTTCTGTCTGTCTACTTGTCTCTGCCTGTGGTACCGTAGCTCTTAAACGGGCGTGTCGATTTGGGTGCGGTTAGTTTATTTAAAAGCAGGTTTTCTAGTGGTGGTTTTTATCAAAATCGATTTAGCTGTTTTATTTCGTGTTTTTTTTTTAATTTCACTTATAACCTTTGTAAGTCATTGTATTTATATTATTATATTCACTTTTAAAGTCACCCTTATAGTAATAATTAATGAATGAGCTAAATTTTTATCTGTGTAGAATAAAATTACATATAATTGTTGTTACAGAAAATACAGAAAATAATCAAGAAGATGATATAATTTTAGAGAATTGTGCAATCAAATTGGAACCAGAATTGGATACTGAAAACGACATTGAAAGTTGTGATAATGACGTATTAGAAAACAGCCAGGTTATATATTACGACGGTGAGTTAATGTTGGCCAGTGTTTTAGAATTTAAGTTGTCTATGCCATCGGTGTTGTCGTGTAGAGCTGGTGTAAGACAAATTGATTACATTCACACATCCTCCTCCATATACACTACTCCATATCGTCCCGTGGGTGTCGAAAGAGGCGACAGAGGGGAACAAATCAGGAGATAGGCAGCAGTCTTTCTAATGACGACTAAAAATAAAAAAAATACGGCTGTCAACCCGCTTGCCAAACGTGGCAACTATGGCAAATATCCCCCCTATGAGTAACCTATGGGGGAGGCCGATGTACAGCAGTGAAGTTTTATAGGCTGTAACGGTAACACATCCAGTGAGGCAATGCTCTTAAATTTATTATAGGATGACGGTGAACCTATATAATTAATTTGAAGTTTTATCATCATTTATTTTAGTGTAGCTTATCAAAATTACACTGCGGTACATTAGCCATCCCATAGATCGCTCCTTAGAGGGGTTATTTACCATGGTCGTCAATAAGAATGTGGGTAGACAACTGCAAATTTTTAACCCCCAGCCCCCAAAACTAAAGAGGGGCGTTATAAGGTTGACTGCTAATTTTTTTTTATAGGATAGGGTGTTAAACGAGCACACAGTCCACCTGATGGTAAGTGGTAGTTGCGGCCCATAGACATCTACATCTATCCTCATTTGCGAATCAAAATGCCGATGCGTTGTCACCCGTGAGGACTAAGATGGAATGCCTCTTTTCAAGTAAAATGGGTCTCTGGTTCTCTACACTCACCATACGAAACACAGCAGTGTTAAGTAGCTAATATAGCTGCAGCATGACTCTACTACGTAAAACGTGTGTGACTGTCTGTGTCACCGTAACTCTGAAACAGGTGAAACGGTTTTTTTTTGTTTAAAAGCAGGTTTTCCAGCAGTGGTTCTTAGACTTGTTTTATCAAAATGGGTTTAGCTGTTTTGTTTAGCAGCGGTAGGGTTCTATTTGGGGGTTTTCTTAAATTTTAAATTGCAGTTGTTATTATTTTGAGCTCCTTTAATACGAAGGTGCCGCTGCTCACCTCCTATTTTACTTTCCCCTCTGTCGCCTCATACGGTGCCCATGGGACAATATGAGGCAGTGGATTCTCTTAAGCAGTCACTACATGCCAACCAAGATAAAGAATGTAAGATATTGTGACATGCGGGTCGACGTGTCTATTAGGATGAGAAATTGATGTGTTCTAGACACGTGTCAATTGTGAATGATTCGTTCATTTGACCCGGGTTGCATCACAGTATTGTGATGATTGCAATTACATTTTTTGAACGTTCCGAATCAAACGATTGACAGGACCTACGGCCATAGAGTACAGTAATGTCCGACGAGCGACATTATCGAGCGGTTCTCACAGATCACAGAGTACTGAAACTAGAAATGAACCATTTGAATGATCGTCCCGAATGACCCGTTTCGTAAGGCGAATCAATACTTGAACAACACTAGCAATGAATGAATGACACTAAAATTGATGTATTCTTCCATTCACTTAGAGCTGCGATGATCCTGATCATTATTTTATTTTATCCTGATGATGCTGACCAGGATACTAGGACAAAGTTATGAAACTGTTGTATTGTCATCGGTCCTTGATACGAGTGCAAATTTTCAAGGCGATCGGCCGTCTACAAGTTGGTGAAAATTACATTTAAAGAATACGTTACATACATATAATATTAGCACGTTAATATAGGAACTAATTATATTGCAAACAAAATGCACGCGACTTTTTTTTTACTGTTCCTAGTGGTTACAAAAATGTACAAAGCTGATTTAATTTCAGATGTGATGGGAGTTAAATTAGAATCCGAATTGAATGACGATAACGAGATCGAAAGTCACGAAACTTCGGAGGACCAAACCGACGGGAACCATAAAGGTATGAAAATGAATTGCCTTATAGATTTTTTTAATCTATCCCTCTGAAATGAAAAGGGGTCTTTGCCTAGCAGAGGTAATTAAAACGTGGAAGAGCCATGTGGCAGCTATATTATGTTTGTAGCACAAATGGGTCAGCTCGACCGATGGAAGGACCACGCTCTCACAGAATACCAACGAAAATAGCAGCTTAACCCTGCTGTGTTCAGTAAATGACGCTTCATTTTAATAGATGCTAGTAATTCATTTATTTGTATTTGTTAATCAATAATATAATACGTTTATCAATAATAATATGCTACGAAAGGAACTTCGTTCCAACGGAGGGTTCCACAACACTCACGTATGTTTCTTTTATGGGATAGGGTGACAAACGAGCACACAGTCAACCTGATGGTAAGTGGTTGCTGTGACCCATAGACATCTACATTTATCCTCGATTACGAATCAAAATGCAGATGCGTTGTCACCTGTGAGGACTAAGATGGAATGCCTCATTTCCAGTCAAAAGGGTCTCTGGTTCTCTAGTGTAGACACTCACCATACGAAACAGCAGCGTGAAGCTGCTATTTTACGCTAATATTCTGTGAGAGCGTGGTCCTTCCCCGCCGAGCCGCCCCGTTCGTGCTACAATTATACCAGTGATATAGCTGCAGCATGCCTCATTAACGTACAATGTTTTTGTTTCGGGGGGTTTTTAAAATTTTCATATTTAAGTTATGAATTTTGATTCTTGATCGAGGGTAGATGTAGATGTCTATGAGCCATCACATTCATTTACTATCAGGTGGACTGTATGCTCCTTTAAGATCCTTGTTCATTTAAAATACTTAAAGTATTAAAAACTTATTGAGATATGTACTATATTACAAACTTTAAAAGAACTTTAAAAGAACAAACTTGAAAAGATAGGTACTAACTATTAAGCTTTATTAAGTGTAATCCTAATAATTAAGTGTAATTATATATTTCTTGAGATCAATAATTAAGTACACGTGGTAGAGCCATGCTGCAGCTATATTAGTAGTATAGTTGTAGCACGAATGGGTCGGCTCGACCGGGGAAGGACCACGCTCTCACAGAATACCAGCGTAAAATAGCAGCTTGATACTGCTGTGTTTCGTATGGTGAGTGTAGAGAATCGGAGACCGATTTTACTGGAAAATAGGCGTTCCATCTTAGTCCTCATGGATGACGACTATCTGCATTTTGATTCTTTATTGAGGATAAATGTGGAAGTCTATGGCTGAGATCTATAGATCGTACTTTGACTTTGCTCAGACTTAGCTTACGACAAACTTAGCTGAGTATATGCTCAGCATAATCTTTGATTTTGAATTTATAGTTGTATCAGGCTAAGATTAAGCTAAGCTTATTGTAAGACCCAGACAGTCCAAATATTAATGGATGTTTCATTCCACGCATTATGTTTTTGACTTTACTGTATAAATTAAAAAAATATATTTAAAATCAAAATTACTGAATGAAATTAAAAAAATATATATTTAAAATCGAAAAAGTCGAAATTGTATTTCATAAATTATTTATTATTACATGAAATAGAAAACGGTCCTATGAGAACGGGAACGGATGACATGAGTGCAGTCAGAAAAAAAAAGATAAGATTTTAAGAATTTTTTTTTTACAGAATTAGGGTGACAAACGAGCACACAGTCCACCTGATGGTAAGTGGTTACTGTGGCCCATAGACATCTACATCTATCTTCGATTGCGAATAAAAATGCAGAGGCGTTGTCAACTGTGAGGACTAAGATAGAATGTCTCGTTTCCAGTAAAACAGGTCTCCGGTTCTCTACACTCTCCATACGAAACACAGCAGCATTAAGCTGTAATTTTACGTTTATATTCTGTGAGAGTGTGGTACTTCCTCGGTCGAGCCGACCCATTCGTGCTACAATTATACTATTAATATAGCTGCAGCATGGCTCTACCACGTGTAAGTGTAATAATTCGAAATAAGATTGAAATTACGTTAATAGAAAATGGATTTATGCTATTTAAAACTATAAGACGGCCTAAAATTACCTATTTATTGTTTTCATTAAATAGAATAACATAAAAACAACAATTTAAAATTAATACGGTGGATTTGAATAATATCCTGAGCCATAGATTAATAATAGGCCATCGCGCGCTGCGCGAAGACCTATCTATAATCTAAGATCCTGAGTTTTACGTAAGTCGTCGATATCGTTGACTTAGGCTTTGCTAAGCGCGAGCTCAGCATGACTTAGAAGTTAGCTCTATAAATACCGAAATTGTCTTAGCTCGAAAGTAAAGTCTGAGCAAAGTCAAAGTACGGTCTATAGATCTCAGCCTATGGGTCACAGCAACCACTTACCATCGGGTGGACTGTGTGCTCGTTTGTCACCCTATCCTATAAAAAAAAGTACACACCGTACACGCGCCACAATAGTTCATCACGTTACGGGTTGACTGGCAGAGAATGCCGACAGGCTTTAAGTCTACCCATTGTGATCTTAGCTGTAAGGTGTTACAATAAATAATAAATAATCAGTGAGAGGTGATGCTAAATGAAGTCATCGAATCAACATATACCGCCACATACTGTTGTATGAACTAATTTGTTTCTTTTTTTTAATTTTCAGATACTTTTGAGAACTTACAATTGCAGCTGAACAAAGACTTAAATAAATTACTGACTGGAGGAGTAAATGTATGTGACAAGAGAAAATCAACTACAGAAAGTAACACGAAAAGCAAGAAGCCGAAATCAGCTGACGAGGGCACAAGTAAGTTATAGTTTCTATGGTCTATCAAACCTATTTTTTTTTGTGCAACTAAAGTGAGAAACGATCTTCACAGTCCACTTGATGGTAAGTGGCCGCTGCAGTCCACGGAGACCAGCAACCAATTTCGAACAAAGAAAGCTGCCGCATCCTGCGTTGTCACCTCAGAAAATTAAGATGGAGTGCCTCACTTTCTATATCTATCAGAAGGGAACACAGCAGTGCAGGCTATTTGACGACAGTAATATATAAGAAGGTGGTACGTACCCTGGAAAAGAAATTTCAAAGACAGGGTTCATTTTAACACCATTGTACCTTTTAAAGAACGTAATTGACCGTGTTGTGGCGGTGTGAGAATATCCACTACCACTATCCTGTCCCGTGGGTGCCGTAAGAGGCGACAGAGGGAAACAAACCAGGCGATGGGCAACTGCGTCTTCCTGATACCAACTATTAAGTAATATAACGCTGCGGTTGCCAACTCGCCTGCCAAGTGTTCCAACTTAGCAAGGGGCTCATAGGGGCTCTATGAGGCAATCTCTTAAAGTTACAGTTTATACCGAGTGACAATAAAGTTATCACATTAAATGAAAAGACGTATCCTACATATATTTCTTTAAACATACACAACTAAAAAAAATATATAACAATTAATATTTTACTCGCCGTAGCATTTTTTTCGTTTTACCATGCATACAGATATCACCTGATGAATACTAGAAGGTCAAAGATCCATGGCATTCGAAGGCGAATATAACTAGTTAAATGTTACCAATTCAAATAAAGAAAAAATCAAGCAAAAAATGTACTTACGGCTAACAATTTAAGGCATAATATTATGCGCGAAATTAAAAACAAATGGACCGCGCGCTGCGGGTGTGTGAAAACAAATTCAAGCGAAAAATTTACTTAAAATAAAGAACTTAAGGCATAGTTCTCTATGCGCGACGTGACAAGAAATGGGACGGAGTGTCAAAATTCATATTTACCTCTGGCGCGTGCGACCGATAGTCCGACGCCGGCGTCCTTGGGGATGGTTCATGAGACGCTTGACCTAATTTTCGTTTTTAAGTTTTAACACGTCCTTTAAGTTTTAATTGTTGTTTTTTTTTGGTTTTGTGGATATTTTAGTAAGTTTCTTAATTTGTTTGTGATAGGACACGTTAATAATACGCTAGATTAGATATTTAATAACTTAGTGGTGTGACAGCCCGTGCGCAATTGCATGCTTTTATTTTTTTAACGTCTTAACTTTTTTTTTAATTTTAAGATGCTTTGTATCACAATTTTACGTCGTCAGAATACACCGACATGACTTTTTTTTTCAAAATTTGATTTGTTTGATTATTAAACTTGAGTGATTTCAAGATTAAAGTGATTATTTGGATAAAAATAATACCATGAAATTTATGATTCGTTGATAACATCGGATTAGCATATCCCTACGCGTGCCTTGCCTGCCGTGTAGTGGCGGTTAAGAATATCCACTACCCCATATCTTCCCGTGGGTGTCGTAAAAGGCGACAAAGGGAAACAGGCAGGAGATGGGCAGCAGCATCTTCCTGGTAACGACAAAATACAATAAAAAACTGCGGTTGCCAACCCGCTCGCCAAGCGTGGCAACTATGGCAATATACCCCCCATAATGAAGGTTACGAAGAGACGGCCCCCAGTCCCCGGCGGCCCCGCTATTCCTGGCTACGGTGGCGACCATGGTAACGGCGGGGCAGGGGGTGCTAAGAATCTCCGGTGGAGGTTCGGTTGCCACCTACAACGACTCGACCTGGCAACATACAACGCACGCACCCTGAGGACTGACGAGAAGATTGTGGAGCTGGAAGAAGAGATAGACAAGTTACGCTGGCATATTATAGGATTATCCGAAGTCCGAAGAGAGGGGGAGGACACGATAATCCTCGAATCCGGCAACTTGCTCTATCACCGGGAGGGCGACCATCTGTCCCAAGGAGGTGTCGGATTTATCGTCCACAAGTCTCTCGTTAACAACGTTGTAAAGATTGAGAGTGTGTCGACGAGGGTTGCGTACCTTATACTCAGAATCACCAAACGGTATTCGCTGAAGGTCATACAGGTTTACGCACCAACCTCGGCACACCCCGATCAGGAGGTGGAGGAAATGTATGAGGATATCTCTAGAGCCATGCATTCCTCCAAAACCCAATATACGGTGTTAATGGGAGACTTCAATGCAAAACTAGGCACAAGAGAGAACGGTGAGGTGAAAGTGGGGAAATTTGGAATAGGGCAACGGAACCCAAGGGGCCAGCAGTTGGCCGACTTCATGGAGAAAGAGGGACTCTTTATGATGAACTCTTTCTTCCAGAAGCGGCCCCACAGGAAGTGGACCTGGTCGAGCCCCGACGGTTCGACAAAAAATGAGATTGACTTCATTATGACGACCAGACGACAACTGTTCAGTGATGTCTCAGTGATCGCGAGGGTGAAAACCGGCAGCGATCACCGAATGGTTAGAGGCACACTGAACCTAAACGTTAAGTTGGAGAGGTCTCGTCTAATGAAGTCAACGCTCCGTCCCCCTCGTGCTCTAATCCAAAGTCCCGAAAACTTTCAGCTCGAGTTGCAAAACCGTTTTCAGTGCCTAGAAGACTGCAATGAAGTGGACGATTTGAATGACAAGCTCGTGGAAACTGTCCATGCGGTCGGAGCTAAGTTCTGCAAGACCCGCCGCAGAAGAACACAAAAACTCTCCGATCACACTCTTAATCTCATGGCTGTTAGACGGGAGATGAAGCTACATTCTTCAACAGATTTGACAGCATACAGGCAACTGAATAGACAGATCTCCAAATGCATGCGGCGGGACTTACGCAACTACAATACAGCTCGTATTGAAGAAGCGATCGAGCGGAACCAAGGCTCCAAAGTCTTTGCCAGAGATCTGTCTGCCAGAAAGAGCCAACTGTCAAAGCTGAAGACCGAATGTGGCAGCATCGTTTCCGGGGCACCTGAGATTTTGAGTGAGATTGAGAGGTTCTATGGGCAGCTGTACACGTCATCGTTGGAGCCACACGCAAGTGTGAGTAACGATCCAAGAGCGAGTCTTATCCGACATTATTCCGATGATATCCCGGACGTCAGTCTGAGCGAGATTAGAATGGCTCTCCAGCACCTTAAAAACGGCAAGGCCCCAGGCCAGGATGGAATTACAGCGGAGCTTCTGAAAGCGGGTGGAAAACCGGTACTTGAAGTCCTTCAGAAGCTCTTTAATTCCGTCCTCCATGGTGGCATTACACCGGAGGCGTGGAGCAGAAGTGCGGTGGTCTTGTTCTTCAAGAAAGGCGACAACGCTCTCTTGAAGAACTACAGACCGATTTCCCTTCTGAGCCGCGTCTACGTGCTGTTTTCGAGAGTCATTACGAATCGTCTCGCGCGCAGACTTGACGACTTCCAGCCTCCCGAACAAGCCGGATTCCGAAAAGGCTTTAGCACCATAGACCACATACATACCCTTCGGCAAATTGTACAGAAGTCCGAGGAGTACAATTTGCCACTATGTCTGGCGTATGTGGACTATGAGAAAGCCTTTGATTCCGTCGAAATTTGGGCGGTGCTGCAGTCCCTTCAGCGATGCCAAGTTGACTGTCGGTATATCGAAGTGTTGAAGTGCTTGTACAGTAGGGCTACGATGGCTATCCGAGTACAGAACCAGAGTACGAAACCTATCCAATTGCAGAGAGGTGTAAGACAGGGTGACGTCATATCCCCGAAACTCTTCACCGCTGCATTGGAAGATGTTTTCAAGCTTCTGGACTGGAAAGGATACGGTATCAACATCAATGGCGAGTACATCACTCACCTTCGATTTGCCGACGATATAGTCCTTATGGCAGAATCGCTGGAGGACCTAAACACTATGCTCAATGACCTCAATAGTGTTTCCCAACGGATAGGTCTTAAGATGAACATGGACAAAACAAAGATCATGTTTAATGTCCATGTCACACCTATGCCGGTAGTTGTTGGGAACACTAAGCTCGAAGTTGTTGACGAGTATGTTTACCTGGGACAAATAGTCCGACTAGGTAAGTCCAACTTCGACCGAGAGGTCAATCGACGGATTCAACTCGGTTGGGCAGCGTTCGGGAAATTACGGCACATCTTCTCGTCAGGTATACCTCAAAACTTGAAAACGAGACTGTACACCCAGTGCGTGTTGCCAGTGATGACATACGGAACTGAGACGTGGTCCTTCACTGCTGGCCGGATGAGGAAGCTCAAGGTCGCTCAGCGAGCTATGGAGAGGGCTATGCTCGGAGTTTCTCTGCGTGATAAACTCAGAAATGAGGATATCCGCAGTAGAACCAGAGTGACCGACATAGCCCAACGGATTAGTAAGCTGAAGTGGCAATGGGCCGGCCATATAGCTCGAAGAACCGACAACCGATGGGGAAGAAAGGTTCTCGAGTGGCAGCCTCGTACCGGCAGGCGAAGTGTAGGGCGTCCCCCCACTAGATGGAGTGACGACCTGGTAAGATTTGCAGGAAGTCGATGGATGCAGGTGGCTCAGGACCGTGCTTTGTGGCATTCTTTGGGGGAGGCCTATGTTCAGCAGTGGACTTGTGAAGGGCTGTAATGATGATGATGACGCGTGCCTAATTACCTATGTATGGTCAAGTGTAGGTATTATAATTACCTATGTCGATGTCACGTGAGCACTGAGCGCTGTTGCCGGTTTAACAGGTCACTTCAGGTCAGTAAACTAATATTATCAACGATGATTTATTTCTTGTCAATTGTTTACGCTATTTATTTTGTTCGAAAAATGAATTTTTTATTTTCTTTTATTATTGTTTGTTTTATTATTTTAACAGACATATATCAACTTGTATTAACTGCTGTGCTAATTAACGTGATAACCTAATCGCCACCCAGTATACGTCCCACTGCTGGGCACAGACCCCCCTCATTTCTGAGAGGGTTTTAGGGAAAGGAAATGTCCGCCGCGCTGCCCCAATGCGTGTTGGCGAACTTCACATGTCTTCGAAATTTTTTTTTCTTAATTCTCAGACGTGCTGGTTTCCTCACGATGTTTCACCGCCGAGCACGTGGCATCAGCACTTAAAATTACAATTAACAATTTCATTGGTGCCGGCGGGGATCGAATTCTGATCGAGGCAATCTATAGGGAAGCTAGATATCTAGATAGGCTGTAACTGTAATTAAAAATGGTGGATAACTTTTTGAATTATTAAGACAGAATTTTTTTAATCAATTTCGGAACGAAAGTTTTGCAAAAAAAAAAACTGTGTTTGAGTATGTTGTCACTTGGCTGTCAAAATTGACACACAAAAATAAAGAAAACATGAGTGTGTAATGCTTGAGCCAATACGGTAAGTAAATCGGTTTATTTTTCTGTCTTGCACTCAGCAGTTCAGTCTTCAGTACTTAGTATTTAACCTTAGCCAAGCTAAATTGTCGCATTTCGTATTTTTGAAGTCAAAAATTCATTAGCATTGTTGTAATTTGAAACCGAATGAAACTAAAAAGCGACACTAAAAACAGACAAAAGTATACATCTATAGGATTTAGCCTGCGCGAGAATGAGATAGAATACAGTGTATTAAGCGATAGTAGCCTCATGGCAGTGTGTGGACCGCGAACTTGAAGGTTGTGGGTTCGAATCCGCCATTCGGTTATTTTTAAGCTTACCAACAGTGTTCAAAGAGAATTTTAGTAATGTGAGTAGCATTGCTAGTATTTATTAAAAAAAAAAGTGTTTCCTATTATTTCGGTCTCCTCTTTGCTTTTAAAAATATAGTTATGTTATACAGTTAAAAATTAACGAAAAACATCGGTCAAATACGACCTGACCAAAATATGAAACGACTGTTTTTTTTTAATGAAAGACGGGGCAAACGAGCATGCTTCTCACCTGATGGTAAATAGCCGGGTACCCACCTAGTGCACAGGCTCGCGCGGCAGCCTCGGTGTGCGGCGCGCGAACAAAGGCTCGCGAGGCAGCCTTAATAGTATTGTCCGGAACTCAGAGGCATGCCTCGCGAGGCAGGCCGAGCTATGATAGCTCACACATTAGTCCTCGAGCGTCCGAAATGGACAGTTGTGTAATTGCAGCTGCAGCTACTTTTCAAGTTGATAATTATTTAAAAAAATGGAAACAGTATTTTGGATCCCACAGCATCTTGTACGTACCGTAAAGTTGAATTAAACGAATCGACTCATCCTATTATAATTAAAATGATTTCAGTAAAACTAAAACAAACACTAGCCTCGCGAGTCACAATACCACCGTACACACCAAACGAACTGCGAACATTGAGGCACCTTTGAGCGCGTCAAGTTTACCGACAACGTATGGCTCGCGGTCGAGCGGCGCTCGGGCGAGGCACGAGGCAGCCCGAGGCACGTCCACATCAGCCGAGGCATTGGCTCGCGAGGCTACCGCGCGAGCCTGTACGTATCACCGTCGCTACGGAACCCAAACCACACGCAACATCATTACACGCGCTGACACTACATCTAATATCACTATACCCAACACCACTACACTCAACTTGACTACACCCAACTTGACTACACCTAACTGTTCTACACCCAATACTACTACACCCAACTGTTCTACACCCAACACTACTACACCCAACTGTTCTACACCCAACACTACTACACCCAACTGTTCTACATCCAACACTACTACACCCAACTGTTCTACACCCAACACTACCACACCCAACTGTTCTACACCCGACACTACTACACCCAACTGTTCTACATCCAACACCACTACACCCAACTGTTCTACACCCAACACTACCACACCCAACTGTTCTACACCCGACACTACTACACCCAACTGTTCTACACCCAACACTACTACACCCAACTGTTCTACACCCAACATTACTACACCCAACTGGTCTACACCCAACACTACTACACCCAACTGTTCTACACCCAACACTACTACACCCAACTGTTCTACACCTAACACTACTACACCCAACTGTTCTACACCCAACACTACTACACCCAACTGTTCTACACCCAACACTACTACACCCAACTGTTCTACACCTAACACTACTACACCCAACTGTTCTACACCCAACACTACTACACCCAACTGTTCTACACCTAACATTACTACACCCAACTGTTCTATACCCAACACCATTGAGAATTTTTGACGAGAACTTGACTGTCAGCGCTGGCAGATTATTGCTCCTGTTTTATAGTTTAAATACTTTTGTTCGACAAAGATATAAACCTCATCTTCTTTTGTGACTACCTCATTGTTCTTGTGGTCATTAGCGCTACTCTTGATCCTGTGATCCCTGGCCTGAATCTCGGGTTGGATCTAAATTAATTATTTGGTTTTTAGGGTTCCGTACCCCAAAAGGAAAAAACGGAAAACTTATAGGATCACTTTGTTGTCCGTCTGTCTGTCTGTCTGTCAAGACTCTTTCTCAGGAACGCGTGGAGGTATCAAGCTGAAATTCATATCAAATACTCAAGTCTACTGTTCCTTTGAGATGTGAAAAAATCAAACTTCTAAGCCAACGCAATCATAAGATACAGCCGTTTATGACGCAAATTTTCGACATTCGCAACCGAATCAACACCTACAGGGTACTTCCCGTGAACTCAGTATCTTGAAATTTGGTACGAAGCAACGTTTTATATAACAGATAAAGGAAAAATTGCGAAAAGCATAAATTTTTAGTTACATCATATAATAAAAATATTTTTAATTATTTTAAACTTATATACCTACAAGTTTGTTCGGAACCCTCGGTGCTCGAGTCCGACTCGCACTTGGCCGGTTTTTGTGTTAAGAAATTGTTAGTTGCAGCACGGAGCCGTTGGTCACGCACCTGCCTCTACCCGGTCGTGTCGGATTCCCGTCCCATCAATCTATTAGCGTGAGGAAATAGAGTGCACTTCTGCTTGAGTATGCACTATAATTCTGCGTTCGGGACCAGCTATCAGATTATATTTTAAGCAAAAAAAGATAAATTGCTGTTTTTTTTTGTTATAGGAAAGGGGACAAACGAGCATGCGGCTCACCTGATGGCAAGTGACTACCACCGCCCATGAACAACTGCAACACCAGGGGAATCGCAGATGCGTTGCCGGTCTTCGCTGTTTTATTTCCTAAAGTATCTTCCACTACCTATGAATACAGTCCACTAGTGACGTCAAAATCGGGACCACTTCTAGAGGGACCCGTAATCTTAGTCGTCTAACCTTTCTTTTCAGAAAGGGCAACAGACGTTCTCGTGTGACACTCCTTCACAGGGGTCACATCCACCTCGTTGTTCCCGGAGCTGACGTGGTGTGATTTATGTTTCGGGGTAGAACGTCAATGAATCACTAACCCCTGTCTGATTGGACCGTTTCAGTTGAGGGATCGACTCCGAGAGCGGGTTGCACATCCCTTTTAATTTGTAGACGGCTAGTCGTCTAAAGCTGACGTGCGTACCGAAATTCGGTCTGGAAGACATTATTATTATTTTAGCCTTACGCGACTGTCATAATCTCTAAAAACAATAGCAATTTGACGCATCAACATATTGTAGATACATATTTGTTAACGTTTTTATATTTTTGTAAAATGTAAGGAGATTTTTTCTTTTTGGCTTCAAGTCAATGCCACAAAGAATGAAAAAAAAAATCCATTACACCTGACATTTTTACCCCTACACTGCTCGTCAAACTACACACGGGAAGCTTTTTTCTTCGCACAACTTCTTTGTTCTTTTGTCAGTTAACACCGGCTATTTTTTGAACCGATGCGACTTGTGCCGGGAAAGCACTGCAGTTCCCCTGGTGATGCAGTTGTTCATGGGCGGCGGTAGTCACTTATCATCAGGTGATCCGCGTGCCCCCTCTATAAAAATACCTTCTTCTTTAGAAACTTATTTTCACATATTAAACATGCATCTATTTCATATTCAAATTTTAAAAACTTTACAATACTTATATTACACCTCTTCCTTAACATCAGCCAGTAATAGTACAGCTACATATGAATTTCTCGATGGAAGGATTGTAGTAACCTACGCTCTCACAGAATAACAGCGTAAAATAGCAGCTTAAAGCTGCTGTGTTTCGTATGGTGAGAGAAAAGAACTGGATACCCTTTTCACTGGAAACTAGGCATCCCAACTTAGTTCTCGGGGGTGATGACACATCCGCATTAAGATTCTAAGTTGAAGGTAGATCTATGGGCCACAGCATCCACGTAAGATCAGGTGGTCTGTTTGTTCGTTTGTTCTTAAAAAAACCGAATGACGCTGATCACGCATGTTTGCAACTCAAACACATCCTTGTGGGATATAATTCTTCCTATGTTAATTGTTCCAATGTTATTTTATATAATACAAATTAACTCACAGTCTACCTGATATTAAGTAGATGTTGTGGCCCATAGACATCTACATCTATCCTCAATTAAGAATCACAGTGTTGATGCGTTCCATCTGGAAAATCAAAATGATATATGGACCTAATATTAATACCTACTACTAGGTGGCACAGCCATGTATCTATATCTACAACCATAATGTATCTGTAAGATATATTATGGTTGTTGCACGAATGGATCGTCTCTACCGCGGAAGGACCGCGCTCTCACAGAATACCAGCGTAAAATAACAGCTTAATGCTGCTGTTTCGTATGTTCAGCGTAGAGAACCGGAGACCTTTTTTACCGGAAAAGAGGCATTCAATCTTAGTCCTCACGGCTGACAATGCATTTGCATTTTGATAGATGATTGAGGATAAATGTAGATGTGTATGGACCACAGCAACCACTTACCATCAGGTATACTGTGTGCTCGTTTGTCACCCTTATACTATAAAAAAAATCACTATTCAAACGTATAGAAATAAATTTACTTCAGAATGCTCGATCATAAAAACATTAAATTAGTGTCGTTAAAGGCGACAGAGGAAAACAAACCAAAGAAAATAATAAAAAACTGCGGTTGCCAACTCGCCCGCCAAGCGTGGTGACTATGGCAAAATTCCCCCTACGCAGCAATCAATGAGAGAAGAATACGTTCAGCAGTGGAGTTTTGTAGGCTACGAGTATAATGATTGGCATGCTTTATAATGAAAAACAGATAACGACTGTGATAATAACTGCCTACAACATTATATAGGATTATTTTTCAAAGAGTAGCCAAATTTTAAACTTAATTTCAAATATATAAACAATTGATATACCGTTATTGCAGTTTTTGAAAATACGAGTAAATAAGGCATCGCCCGCGTGCAATTTGGTTTTAATATTTTTTTTGCGCGGAACCATAATCCTTTTAAAGTAGCTCAAGTTACTCCCTATAACATTAGCTATATTGTGTTTTTGTTATAAGTACCGTATATACTTTCATGTGAATTTAGTAAAAAGCTGTTATTTTGACATTACAAACAGACACTTCGATTTTATTTATTTGGTTAGATAATCAGTAAAATAATACATTACCACGCATTTTGAATTTAAAAGTTAAAAAGGACAGAATATTTGAGATTTTTTTTAAATTAGTTTTTCTACACAATTTGCGTATATTACTTATTCTGGACATTCTCTGCAAGTTTGGCCGGTTATTGCAAAAATATTACTATACTAGAATTATTTTGTACGTGCAGTTTGGGTCATAAATCATCGAAGTATTTCGCTCTCTCTCCCATTCACGGGCCTTAGGGGAGAGCATAGTGATGCGCATTATTGTTGTCGATAAGCGTTATCGGTAGTGTATTTAGTTTTGTCATTATGTGGGTTAGTGATAAAAATGAAAAAAAAAATAGATAAAACAACGTATTTATTATAATAAGAATAATAATGATTTAAAATAAATTATGAAATAGGTGTCTATGTATTAGAAAAACTATAAGTACAAATGTTTGGAACGTAACAAGTTATATTAAAAAATAAATATAAATATAAAGATGATAAGCTATATCTAAAATTAAATCTAAAACTATTTACTTTTTTCATTTGTTGTTATCGATAACGGCGTTGCGCCCGCGCAACATGCTTACCGCCCGCGCAACATGCTTACCGCCCCAGCCGGACTGAAGCTGAGCTACGATTTATGACCCCAACTGCACGCTCAAAATAATTTTACTATAGGCGTCAAATTTCTTCCATAATGAGTGATACAAAGACGGCTCTCCAATCCCCGTAGGCCATACTATTCCTGACTGCGGTAATACAAGTCACATTTGAAAAACTAACCTTTGAGCGCATCTGAATGCGGATGCGATGTTTCCCCAAAAATCTGTTCCATCCTTGTGATCTCGAGTGTCATCAACCATAACTACACGGTGTTGTTGAGAGTCTTCATAGTAAAATTAGGTACAAGTTGCCCAAGAGAAATTTGATTTCGGTTAACGTAATCTGAGATAACAACAGAGGAAGTTGATGGTGGGAAATTTCATAATATAGTACTTAATTTCTGCGTTTATATTAAGACTTGCAAAAAGTGGAGAAGTCCTGAGGATTCGACAGAAATGGGAGTGACACGTATGAACGAAATTGGAATCAAACTGTGTCGCCTGACTTAGGCCTACGGAGTATCTTTGTATTGCTTAGCAAAGTGTGAGGTGGCCCCCCTTTAGATAGAGTGACGACCTGATAAGACATTCAGGAAGTTGATGGATGCAGTTGACTCAGGAGTGTGCTTTGTGACATTCCATGGAAGAAGCCTATGTAAGGAATAATTATTAACTTTTCAGTAAATTGTTTTATACAGTTGCGTTTTCAATTACAGTTTTAACAATTAGCTCGTTTTAAATATAACATAGGTCTACATATATATAAAGCTATAGATGATAGGTATATTAAGGATAGAAAATATTTATCTTATGAATAAAAGCGTAGTAACTTTGACAAGAATAGCACTGAACTAATTTGAGCTATGTTCTTAATACCAAGCAATAAGGTTTACATCTTCTATAATATAAAAATGAATCGCTGAATGTGTTGCTAAGCGCAAATCTCGAGAGCAGCATATTTCTTGAAGTACGAAGATGGTTCTTACGGAGAGAAAAATTTAAAAAATTGCCTGAAAAAGTCCAAAAACAACACTTTTCTATATTCCCATACAAAAGTTAAAGTTAGTGGAGGGGTTCCGGGAAGGCAAACAATTGAGTGACGTTAGTATCGTATAAATACTAATGTCAATATTTGTCAATTAGAATAAGTAAAAATAAAGTGAAATATAATAATTAGGTATCATAATAAGAAATCAGAAATTGTAATTTTCATTGTGATTTTTAGTGACTGTTAAAAGAATTTTAAGTGTTTTATAATTTTTATTTTTTGACACACTTAATGTAATTGTTGACTTATCAACTTTCTTTTTTGTTTTTTTATCTTACTAGCTGACCCGGTGTCCCGAATAGCAGAATAAGTATTAAAAAAAAATAAAGAATCGAATTTGAAAATTAACTTTTAAAATTAAATTGAAAATTAACCCTAACACATTTATAAGATCTGTCAAATAACTTCCGTCTAAAAAAAAGATTTGTTTTGCGCGTTATAATAGGCCGAAATTGCCGACTTTACTTCATCATCGTCGCCAAATTTTTTCCCGCACTGTTCTGTCTTCATTTTTGGAATCAAATAATAGTCGCTTGGGACCAGGTCTGGGCTGTATAGGGTGGGTGGCGCAGTTGTTCAAATCCGCACCGGTGAATGGCAGCTGTCGCAACATGGCTTGTGTGCACGGGCGCATTGTCGTGCAAAAGGAGCACGCCTTTTGTAAGCTTTCCTTGGCATTTTTTTTAATAGCTTCTTTTAATTGATCTAGTAAAGAAGCGTAGTATTCTTCCGTTATAGAAACACCGCGTTTCTTATAATCAATAAAAAGGATACCTTCTGTATCCCAAGAGATCGTCGCCATGATCTTTCCGGCCGATTGAGACACCTTATACTTCTTAGGAGGGGGTGTGCCTTTTTTATGCCACCGCATCGGCTCCTGCTTTGACTTGCGTTTATGATGGTGAACCCAAGTGTCACCTTTGCTCTCCACAGCGGTCAGATCAAAACTCGCGACTACTTTCGACGCGCTCGTGTTTTTAAAGCGCAGAAAGCATTCTCGGAACCCATCATGCGCAGACTTTAGTCATGCCAAGGTATTGATGTAGGATGTGTAAACAGGTTGTTTCTGATACTCCAACTAATGCTACAAGCTGTATTTTCTATAGCCGGGCATCTTCCGATGCAAATTTTTCAACTTTTTCGATTATTTCTGGCATGGTAGCCTCAATCGGCCGTCCAGGTCGGTGGTCGTCTTCAATGGAGTTCCTCCCTTGTTTGAAAAGGGCGTGTCATTTATAAATCATGGTTTTCCCACGAGCTGAGTCCTCATAAACAGCTGACATCTATTGAAAAATGGTTTGAGGTGTTTTTCCTTGTTTGGTGAGAAACATAATGACGGCGCTATATTCAATTTTCTCCATAGTGGCTAGTTTCTTCCCGATCGACTTGTTTACTCGTTGATAACTTAAAAGATAATGATCCGATTAGGCTGAAACTTGGTATATATACTAACAATAAGTCAACTAGCGCCTACCTGGATGAGTAAACTCACCCTCGGCAACCCCGCCATTCCGCTAATTTTATGACCTCCCCTCGTATAATCGAATTCTTACCAAAATGTGACTTTAGAGGGATATTATCTTTTGCTACATGTAAATGAAACCTAATTAACATACACATAATTGTGGGAGTTTTAATTCAGTCCACTGATGGAATAACAGTTCGTTTTAGTTGGATTCAAAATCCTCGGATTTGCAATGTTTGCCACAAATATGCTTAAATGCATGTAAAAAATACATATATAAATAATATCACATTTTTATTGAACAAATAGAATGTTAGCAGTCACATTTGGTAAGTAGTTTCTAAGTATAGTTCGTTTCGAACTATCAGATTTCGGAAATATTGTGTTTGTATTTGTGCACGCAATCGTACACTATAAAAATCTGTACTACGTAGATGGCTAGTCCAAAAATGTACACGCGTTTAAATATTATATTACAATTAAAGTTGAAATCACCACATAACTTTCATCAACTAAGGGAAATATTGCTACGAATAGCCTTTTCTTGTTATCATTTTTTTCCGCTTCTTGCACCATTTAATTGGAAAGTTTTATAATGCATATTTATTTTTTTTACAATATAGCAAAATTGAACCGCATAATAATTTCTGATATCAGAAATGGGATCATTTCTAATGAGGACTAATAATCTTCCGCTCACCAGATGTCGCTAGTTGACACTGAGTCTGACTGAGGCTGAGTTGTATTTTGTTACACAATGTATTTTATTTAAGAAGTTGGTTTTAAATAAAAATTTACGTATAGTAGAGTATTATATTACATGTCTATAGTTTAGACTCTTAGAGTATTATATTAATACATAAAACAAGTGATATATTCTTTAATTTTTTTTTATATTTCTACTTTTATGAATATCTTTGGTTTGGTTTTATTTTATTTATTTTTATTTATACTCTTTATTGCACATAAAACACTACACAACATAGCAAACTTAAATTTATCAACGAATGTACAATTAGGTGGCCTTATCGCTAAACAGCGATCTCTTCCAGGCAAACCTTGGTGAAGGAGATAATTTTCATTTAAATATATAGAAGTGTGCATAAATAGTAGATAAACAAGCATATATTAAAAATAATATTATATATACCTATACACATAAACAAATATATACATACACACTTACATATACACATATACCTACATATACATACATAGAATACATACACTTTTATAAATATTTCTGTAATACATTATAACTATATATCATATACATAAACCTTATCAGGAAAAGTAGATATGACAATAAAATATATTAAGTAGAACACATATTTAAATAATAATCTTTAACCACATTTTTGAAAGACTCAATGCTTTGGTTTGCTTTGGTTTATTTATTTTATAATCTAATTAATATAAAATATAACTAATAGTACAAAAAGAAACATTAAACTTTACTTTTTCTAACAAATTAACTTCCTCGCTATGAAAACTGTCCAAAAATTATACTTCCCTTTTAAGTGGCGCCGCCCTGGTGGCAGAAAAAGTCGTGGACGCCGTCATTGTATTGTTGAATGTTTTTTTTTTAATAAAACTGGAGTGACAAACGATCTTACAGTCTACCTGGTTGTTAGTAGCTACTGCAGTCCTTAGTCATCTGCAACCAACTTTAAACAGGTTATATACAGATGATTGTCTCCTCTGAGGACTGAGGTGGAATGCCTCACAGTTTGTATTTATACCGGTACTAGGTAAGAGGGTGATGCCTATACAGAACGAACTCCCAGACAGAAATAGAGCTATCTACACCCGTCACACCGGAACACAGGATACAGAGAAGACATAGGATACATAGAAGTAAAAACACCAGTAAAAGTTTTAGAATTAGTTCATTGCTTTAAACATTAGATAAGTTGCATTTTAAATTAATTTTTAATATATAATCTCTGTCATTAGGCTGTCAACTGCCTTCACAATGTGAGGAAGACTCTCAAATACGTCATCAATCGACTCCGCAACCGCAAAATACCTTACAACAAAATGCATGCACCAGAATCATATGTACAAGCAAAACACAGACGGCAAACATAAAAGGATTTAAAGAAGTAACTACAGACAAACAAATTTCATTAGTCAATTCATTCAATGCATCTGTTACTAATCGAGGGGATTGTTTACGTCAAGAGCCAATGAACTATCAAATACCTCACCAACCGATTCCGCAACCGCAAAATACCTTACAACAAAATGCATGCACCAGAATCATATGTACAAGCAAAACACAGACGGCAAACATAAAAGGATTTAAAGAAGTAACTACAGGCAAACAAATTTCATCAGTTAATTCATTCAATGCATCTGTTACCAATCGAGGGGACTGTTTACTTGAAGAGGCAATGAACTCTCAAATACGTCATCAACCGATTCCGCAACCTCAAAATACCTTACAACAAAATGCATGCACCAGAATCATATGTACAAGCAAAACACAGACGGCAAACATAAAAGGATTTAAAGAAGTAACTACAGGCAAACAAATTTCATCAGTTAATTCATTCAATGCATCTGTTACCAATCGAGGGGACTGTTTACTTGAAGAGGCAATGAACTCTCAAATACGTCATCAACCGATTCCGCAACCGCAAAATACCTTACAACAAAATGCATGCACCAGAAGCATATGTACAGGTAAAACACAGACAGCAAACATTAAAGAATTTAAAGAAGTAACCATAGACAAACAAATTTCATCCGTCAATTCATTCAATGTATCTGTTACTAATCGAGGGGACTGTTTACGTGAAGAGACAATGAACGCAGAAAAACAAAAACGCAACGAACAAAGAATTGCCAACAGCACAGACAAGACAAACAGCAAACTAACAATCAACCCGGAAGACAAAGATACTGCGAACAATCATTTATCCAGTTATTCCGTGGACGAACTACCGTCACTGCCAACGGATATACGACATAATGAACAGCTAAACGATGAAAGTCGTCCTCCTAATCAAAAAGACCAGAAGTGCATATCACAAAGACCAAACGTACAACGACCAGGCTCTAGTCTAAGAACAGTTTCAGGAATTGCCCATACAAAAAGAGTCCGCCGTCTTCGAAAATGGCGTAAGGAACAAATGGAGCTAGAAGAATTGATGCTGTGGGCACTACTGTAAATTATATACAACTTGCGGCTGTCGTAAACGGCAACTTAGGAAAAATCATAGATGTCCTTCGATAGATACATTATAACTACATTTTTGTTAGTTTATGCAACATATAAAATCCGCTGACCGAACAAAACTGGGGCCTTGGCTATATATTAAATTATAATTATTTAAAGGCCGGCAACGCATCTGCAATTCCCCTGGTGTTGCGGTTGTTCATGGGCGGCGGTAGTCACTTACCATCAGGTGAGCCGCATGCTCGTTTGCCCCCTCTCCTATAAAAAAAAAAAATTATTAGTACGCTGAACAAAGGTCTCGTCTGTAAATTTTCTCAAAGAAACGATTTTGCCATTGTTGGCAAACTTGCCGAGAGGATTGATAACCATGACCCATTCCTGTTTTGGTTTTCCCCTGTCGCTTGACATTGGGTACCTAGTATCTAATAAATACATTTTGTACTAGTGTATTGGTAGTAGTGGACACAAGTTGTTCATATCTCCAGAAGTCTGCGTGATGCAGAATTGATTTTGAATGTAGGATACATGTCGCAGGATGAGTGTGGACATCACTTACACCGAGCGGTGTCCGACACGATTTTTCGAAGGACTCAGGGCTAAGGTCCGATGAGACTTGTCGGAGCTGACGACAAATTAGTGTCGGACAAATGTGATTAGTTCCATAGACAATATTCTGCCATTGGACAGTTTTTTTTGGCGGATCAGATCATCCGACAAGAAGGATACAGCGGACATATATCGCTTCTATCCGCTATTTCTTCTTTCTTTTTTATATTGCGTGCATTAAATATATTAGTGTTTTATTTAATTATAAAAATCTTTTGTCAAGCGAATTTTGGAGATAAATATCATGTATTCTGTTAGAGTCTGTGTCATTTTTCTGACAACCCCAAGCCGCCATTTACGGCTTCCAAGATGCGAAGGTTTACGGATTGAAATGAACTGCCACATACAATACTAATGAGAGTTAATAATCTTCCACTTACCAGATGTTGCTAGTTGAGACTGTTGTAAAGTTTTTTGTTGTTGTCATTTGATTAAGAATTTAGTTTTAAATATATGTTTATCAGCTTACTAGTGTATTATTTTGTAATATTAACACACAAAACAATGACTTACTTATGAAAAAACAATGCCAGTGGTTTTCTCTTAAATTTTTTGCACATTTTAACTTTTTTAATTTTTTTAGTTTTAGAAATATCTGTACACTAGTTTATTCGTTTTTTATGTAATGAATATAAAATAAAACTAATATTACACAAAGAAACATAACCCTTATATTTTCCAAACGACACAACTTCCCCGCTATGAATTCTGTTTAGGCCAAACAATTAAAATTTGTAATTTGCATTCCACTCGTGTCCGTCCGCTGACTTTGTAAAGGTCACACTCCCGTGTGCGTCGCTCGGCAGAGGGCGTGGGGCAGAACGCGAGTGCAAAGTCGGTAGTAGCTCGCTGGCCGCGATGCGGTCAATCCGCGTATCTCGGTTATCGCTGCCGAAGTTCACGCGACCGGTGTAGGGTCCAGATGGTTAGATTTAGTGCGTGTTACTTCGCTACGGAATTGTCTTTCGTGAAAACCGCCTCGGATTAGGTTGTCTAGGGTTTAAGTTCTTGACAATAGGCTTTTATTGTGTACGACTGATTAAAGTAACTTCTTTGAAAGTAATTGTGTAAATTATATAGGGATTGCGTTTGAAGTGAATTTTGCAATATTTAACTTGCTCGAGTGACTCGGAATTTCGTCGAGCAGGCTGTTATGGGCCCCAGCCTGGGCGACCTTTGCAGGGGCAGCTGCGGGCCGTAACAAATTCAGTCAAATATTTCACCTCATTCGAAAGTGGCGCCGCCCTGACGGCAGAAAAATCGTGAATTATTTTTTATTGGATAAGGTTGACAAACGATCACACAGTCCACCTGATGGTAATTGGTTGCTGCGGCCCATACATATCTACGTCTATCCTCTATTACAAATCCAAATGCAGATGCGTTGTCACCCGTGAGGATTAAGATGGAATGCCTCATTTTCAGTAAAAGGGGTCACCCATTCGTGCTACAACTATACTACTAATATAGCTGCAGCATGGTTCTAATGGGTTTTTCAACAAGAACTTTGTTTTCTAAAACAAAATAAGACAAAGAGTTTAGATGAAGATGATTCAAATTTTTATTGTATTACGAAGAGAAAAGTTTGGCAATTATGAATGAAAAATGATATCTGGCAAATGTCCACCACGACCACGCTGACAGATGTCGATTCTTTCATCAAAGTTTTTAATCACTTTTTGGCAAAATGGCGGGTCTATTTCGTTAATCACGTCACGGATTTTGAGTTTTAAGGCCGCGATCGATTCGATTGGCTCTGTATAGACTCTGTCCTTAACATAGCCCCACAAAAAATAATCCAGTGGTGTTAAATCACACGATCTGGCTGGCCATTTAACAGCTGAATTTCGTGAAATTATGCGATCCGGAAATTTGGTTTGCAATAAATTGATCGTTTCGTTGGCTGAGTGACATGTGGCACCGTCCTGTTGAAACCACATGTTTGTGATATCGATGTCATCAATATTAGGCCAAAATTGAGATGTTAACATCTCGCGATAGCGTGTTCCATTGACCGTTACCGCATTTCCAGCCTCATCTTCGAAAAAAAACGGCCCAATCATGCCTCCAGACCACATAGCGCACCATACAGTGACACGTTGAGCATACAAAGGCTTCTCAATAATCGCTTTAGGATTTTCAGAAGCCCAAATGCGGCAATTTTGCTTGTTGACGTACCCTGACAAGTGAAAATGGGCTTCGTCTGAAAATATGATTTTTTCAGAAAAACCAGCGGGATGTTCCTGAATGAATTGAGCGAATCTACAGCGATGTGAATGGTCGGTCAGCTTCAATTCCTGCACCAGTTGAACCTTGTAAGGCTTCAATGCCAAATCCTTACGCAAAATTCGCCATGTGGTGGTTTTGGATAACCCCAATTGTTGAGAACGTCGAGGAATTGACAAATTTGGATCTTCTTCAACACTGTGGCTCACGGCTGCGATGTTTTCGGTTGAACGACCCGGTTGAACACGCGTTGGTGTTGGCGCATTTTGTACCGAGCCTGTCGATTCAAATTTAGCGACCAAATTCTTAATATCGGTCTCAGAAGGACGATTATGTTGTCCGAAAATATCACGAATTTCACGAAACGTAACTTTAACAGAACCACCATTTTCATAGTGGATTTTAATTATTGTAATGCGATTTTCGAGCGAAATTGAATTCATTGTAGCAATTGCCAAAGCATCTACTACGAATGGGTCAAAAAACTAAATGTCAAAACTGTCATGTTTTTGGTGTTGCCCCAATTGAAAAACAAAGTTCTTGTTGAAAAACCCTTTACCACGTGATAAATGCAATATGTGCATAAATGCTTTCAATACAATTTTTCTTCCTCATCATCATTCATTGGAGACCTGCAGCCACCTTAAAGAAGGCTACAGATGCGTTGTCACCTCCTAGGTCTACTACAGAATGCCTCACTGCCTTGACGGCTCCGTGGCGCAGTGGCTTAGCAATCAGTTGTTGCTCTGGGGGCCGCGGGTTCGAATCCCGCACGGAACAAGTATTTGTATGGCCTACAAATAATTGTTCCGAGTCAGGATGTTTGTCCTTGTGCAATTTATGTTTGTAAACTGCCTCCACGACACAGGAGAAAATCCTAGTGTGGGGGTAACGTTTAAAAAAAAACTAAAGAAATCATACTTGCTCACAAAGCCTTCAGCTCGGAACACAACAGCACAAGTGCTGCTAGTAGGCGGTATAAATACGTAATAGGGTAGTTCCACCCAGACGCACTCTTAGGTAAAAGATGTTTTTTTTTTAATTTATAAGGGTGACAAACATTTTTTTATAAAATAAGGGTGAAAAACGAGCACACAGTCCACCTGATGGTAAGTGGATACTGTGGCCCATAAACACCTAAGTTTATCCTCAATCAAGAATCAAAATGCGGATGCAATGTCACCTCTGAGGACAACGACGTAATGCCTCACAGACTGTAATGTACAGCTAAGGAGTTTAACCCTGAAGGCCGGAACACAACAGTACAAGTGCTGATATTTGACGGTAGAAATAATTAAGAGGGTAGTTCCATTCAGACGCACTACTAGGCAGAAAAGGGTTCTACCTTTTAGTAAAAACTTTTTTTTTATAGGATAAGGGTGACAAACGAGCACACAGTCCACCTGATGGTAAGTGGTTGCTGCGGCCCATAGACATCTACATAAAACAAAATGTAGATGCGTTGTCACTCGTGAGGACTAAGATGGAATGCCTCTTTTCCAGTAAAAAGGGTCTCCGGTTCACTACAGTCACCATACGAAACACAGCAGTGTTAAGCTGCTATTTTACGCTGGTATTCTGTGAGAGCGTGGTCCTACCCCGGTGGAGCCGACTCATTCGTGCTACAACTATACTACTAATATAGCTGCAGCATGGCTCTACCACGTAGATAACGTCGACTGTCAGATGCCATGTGGTGCCCGCGTAAGAAAATCACCATTTCGTTCTCTGGTAACAGGCGACTATCGTGATACATCAAAAATATCTAACAATTTGCGGTGTAAACATCTCGTTTACGCCAGACGTAAACCCAGACTGGCGCGGCGACGGGAAGTAGTATCAAAGGTGCGAAACGTACCAGACTATGATCGCCAAGCCACTTGCCAAGTGCCAAGCGTGCTAGTAACTCGTATCTCGGTCTTAGCTTACTCAAACTCCAGAGTGAGGGATGAAATTTTAAAATATTTATTTATTTATTTAACTCACATCACTTACACATCACACATCTCAAAAACATAAAATATAAGTACTCAGTTCACACACGTAGATAATATTCAAAATCAGATTTACTAAGTCAAACAAAATAACCTAAAGCGTCTCCCACACACAAGCGGCTTGCGGTGGCGGCTAACTGCGAGCCGCGGCTCCAGCCGCTGCAACAACACACCACCGCGGTCGCAGTGGCGGCCTGAAGTTCTATTCATTGTGGTGTCTGTGCTACGATCGGATGTCAGTCAACATGGCTAACCATGGCGATGTCTTTTTATTCTTATATATTCAACAATATTATCCCATATTTTGTTTTTAATACTAATGCTTTTGTAAGGTCAAGGTGTGAAGTATCACAAAGTACTGGATAATTTTGCACTTTTTCTTTTAAAATCTCTGTATTTAGCGCCATTATGCATGCGGTACACGCGGCCTATTGTAAAAATTTGCAACTGACCGCGCTGCGGCCACCGGCCGCCGATAACAGGCGGAGGGGGCGGGGCATACGGTCGCGGCCAGCCGCTCGCAGGCCGCGGCTTGGCCGCACGGGTTTGCAGGCTCACTTACATTACAAGCGAATACAATTGGCCGCCACCGCAAGCCGCTTCTGTGTGGGACTGGGAGACGCTTAAAACGTAGAAATGTTACAAAAGATAGATTTATTTTTGCGACGAGTTATGGTTTTTTCACCATAAGCAAGTGTGTTATGCAGCTAAAAACAGTTTTTAACATTCTTTCATCAATTCAAAGTAGATTCAACCAAAAAATCTAATCAAATCCTAGATAGACCAGGTTATATACGACATTAGGACATTGAACACTTGAGAATTGATTATGTACTCGTAAATGCACTAGAAACTAGAAATATATGTATTAAACAATTTACTAAATAAGTTAAATTCAACCAAGATAAAATCCGTAAAATTAATTTTATTTAGTATTCGCATTCACCTAAGAAATAGTTATTAAAAATATGAATTAACGACTATCACTTGGTGCTGAAATTTGGTTGGTTTTGGTTGAGTCCCGAAAACACTCTACAATCGTTTTTTTTTTTGGTATAGATCTACATACTTGAAATTGTACACAATGATTAGTGTGAAATACATGTTAAAGTTATGACTACATTTACACACAATTTAACCTTGTTTCAGCTAAAAAGAGGAAGAAAGAACCCGAGAAAAGTAAAATATCCGAGAACCGTGGTTACGCGCCTATATTAAGAAAGAACTCTTTGAACCTAATCACCAA